CTAATTTAACTATGCTACTTAAATTTAAAACAGCCTGAATATTTTACCATGCATGGCTAATAAAACTTAACATAAGGACTACATATTTTTATTCAGAAAGATTAGTCGGTCTCCGATGAAAGCAGAGTGCAAAGTTTATTTACAATTAGACCGGCGGTGGAAAAAAACGCGCTCAGCAGGCAGAAGTTGCAGGAACAGCCAGGAACTAGCCACTGGGCAAGAGTGCTTATCCTTGCTAATCGAGACTCATTTACTTTGCACAATTCTAAAATTGAAGAAGCTTTCGATTTTGGTGTCATCCAGTGCAACATCACTTACACACGGCACGCACATGACTGATAGTATCACACACCATACGCGCACATTCGCGTGGTATTTAAAATGAAACTATTTAGATGGCGCTCTGTGGCACGGCAGAAATATGAACAGTGTCCTGAGTCGTGGCTGGGCACCGCTGTGTAACCTGATAGAAACCTATGTTTCTATTAAAAAAAAATTACTAATGTTTTGCTTCTTACACTTTCCTTACACATCTGAAACTTGCCTACAGCACTTATTCATTGTTGCTCTTATAGTTGTGTAAATTGTTTCCTTGTCCTCATTTGTAAGTCGTTTTGGATAAAAGCGTCTGCTAAATGACTAAATGTAAATGTTTGGAATTCTGAAATGCGCCGTGTGGGCCGTAGCGCGACGTGGCGCTTCTGGTGTGTGACCCCCTATACTCGATCTGCGCTCAGGTCTCGTCTCTAGACCGCAACTCCCTGCAGCCATAACCAATCAAATGTCAAACTACCGCCCAAATACCAGCATAACCATCGTTTTCATGCTCGATCGTTGCTGATGCGTTCAAGTAATCGATTAATCGAATAATTGTGCACATTCCTAATGCGTTAGGGCTTCTCTTATCGTAATATACCTAAAACACGAATTGCTGGGAACCTCGTCAATGGCAGTAAAGCGTTTTCTCTGTTTAACTGCAGGAAAAGAGTTAAACAGAATAATTTATCGATTTGACGCATGTTATAATACCAGCCATACATGTAAAGCACAAATAATGTCCTGTAATTCGGTCACGTACAGCAGTCATCATCCATGAACCAATCTCCATCTGTTTAATCCATTGCTCCATTTGCTCCAACTTTTGTTTGCAATCTAAAGCAGGTCAAACGCCCAATTTGCCCCAGAGTGGATTAAGTTCATAGCACTCATTAGGATTCGTTTTTTAACTTAGGCCGTACTCACACTAGGTACAGTTGCCTCGAACCGGGCCAAAGCACGCTTGTCCCCCCTCCCGTCTCCCCCGACGGCCCGCGCTCACACCATAAACGGGCTTCGGCACGCTTACGTCATCGCTGCTGCGCTGTTCAGTGAGAAGCGCTCTCTCACTCAGCAGCACAGTGGAGATTTCTTTAGTTATATCGTTTCAGTCGTTTGATATGCCGTCAAATATTTCGCCAAACAGTCCTTAGGGATGCGGGGACACGCAGTCAGATATTTCGCCGAACAGATCCGCCACTTTTTTCGCTCATAAACAATCATAAAGCTCTCGTGCTGCAGCAATGAGGAGGTCTGCTGAAGGCGCGCAGCTGTCGTGCAGTGAGGAGTTTGCGTCTTTAATAAACTACGGCAGTTTGCGTTCACTGAACAGTAAGAATGATTAATAAATCTATATGAAACAGTCCATTAAAAGTCACGTCTCGCTTTCAGTTTCGGGCTTTGGCGCATTTTGCACTCACACACAAGCCCAAGTGAAACGGGCTCAGGCACACCTCTTCCAACCGGGCCAGGGCTGGCCAAGTGAACCGTGCTTGAGCCCGATTCAGCGCACTCACACTTCTCAAACGATCCGGGAAACGGGCCTGGGCACGGTACGGATGGCATAGTGTGAGTAGGCCCTTAAACCATTTGAGGAAACTGATTTCAACAAACCATTTCAGTTGAAAAACTAATCCTAATGAATACTGTGAACTTAATCCATTTGAGTAAACGAAGCAATTTGAGCACATTAAAACCCAACAACTGAAGAGAACTCAAACCAACTGAGTACTGTAAAACCCAATAAGATAAGGCAACTCTAACCGTTTGAGGAAACCCATTGCTACAAACGATTTGAGTTACCTTAACATTTTGGGTTTTACAGTGCATGTAAATCACTCACGCTTCATCTGCATCTGCTTACTGCACAAGCTGACCCCCCCCCCCCATTCCATTTAATGTAATGTAATGATAGTGAGGGTGCGGGTGGGACGTCATTTTTTGAGAGACTCAAATACACCAGTGACCTCATGTACGAAGACTTGCGTTTAATTCATACTAAAACATTGCGTACACACAAAGCTGTAAATGTGCATTCGCAGTGTTGCATACATCTGAATTGTTTACTGTGTACGCCGAATCCCACGCATATTCTCTTTGTACATCCAAATTAATGTGAAATGCAAAACCCCTCTCTGCCTCTTCCCCCTAATAAATATGGTAATGACTCTACTTTGGCAAAACCAAATGAAAAAGCAATGGCAAAAGCAAGCAAGAAGAGACACTTTGAACAGAATGTGGATTGGAGAAAAACTGTGTTATTTGCAAGTTTGTCGCTAGAATGAGCTAGTTGAGTGATTTCCGCCAGTTTGATCGACAGAGACAACAAAGCTAAAGAGAGTGAAGAACAGCAGCACGAATGGCGTAGCTTGTAAAGCGCATGGCAACATGTTTTGACACTGTCATTCATGAACCCGGCTGGAATCCAGCGTCTGATGAACTCGTTCTTCTTTTTCCCCCCACTACATATCAGATTTTGCCTACTCTTCATCCCGAGGAAGACAAGTAGGAATCATTAATAAGTGTGTGTATTTTGTTAAGTGCATTTGAGCATCATAGTATTTGCACATTTATTGAATGGAAATGTTTTCGAGTCACATATGCAAATTCATCTTCAGATAGCGCCTTTATAGCAATGTGCGTGTGGTCGATCGCTCCGATTACATCGGGAAAACCGGCGATCACTGCAGATTGCGCTTTAATGTTTGGCTGGTCAACTGCATGGCATGGAAACCTTATATACCTGCTAGACATGCGGATGATCCCGTCCCATACAGCTGCCATGGCGCGGCTCAAAGATACTTTGTAGTGTGCAATTTAACACAACTGCCTCTAGGAGGCGCCGATGGAAATAAAACAAACACACACAGGAAATGCACGTACACCAGACATGAAGTTGGCGTAGAACAATGCACATTCTCATTCATTTCAGCGTGAGCGTGAAATCTGCCATACGCAAAGTATGCAACGTCTGTATAGTAAGTCATGTAGCCTAAAACAATTCATTGTAAACTGAAATGAATATAATTTGATTATATGGTTTGGACTTTGATGTTTTATGATATTATGTATTTACAATTATTCGGAAAATTTGCGACTTTTTGCTGAATTTGTGTTAGATTCAGTGATCGCGGAATCGCAAAAATATAGGGGGTCTGCAAATAATTAAATTACTTATGTCTATGTAAACGTAGTCAGTTATATAAATTATTATCGGCACTGTAACAATTTATAATAACTACACACTATAAATCATTTATTAAGCGTTAGCAAATAGTGAATTCATTCTCTGTTAAGCATTAACTCTACATTAATAAATGTTAGTAAGCAGTTTATAACTGCAGCTACAAATGCTGTATTCTTGACTTACAAACATATTTAAAAAGTGCTTAATAATTGTATTTTCATACTTTGTTAATGATTTATTTTTCATTACTAAATTAAGTATCACAATATATCACAATATATCATATTATATTATTAATTATTCAGGCATATATTAATAGTTGACTAATATGTTAGTAAATGCCTTATTAACTCAACTTCATCCAGTTCTGTGACCTAATCTAAAGTGTGGACTATTTATAAATCCTTTATAAATGCTAAATAAAGGCTCAGTTCAATTCTAAACAGGAAAATGATATCATTCATTCCTATTCATTTAAAGATACACAAATGAAACTGTACCTCAAATGAAAAATAAATCTTTGCAACCTGATCTAAAAGAAAACCACTGTTGAGTTTAAACATTGCATATTATTATATTGTTAAGTTATTATATTGTTGGTTTTGTTTTATCCAGTTTTATGTCGTATTTTGACACTCCTGTTATTTGGCAATGTTTTTCCTTTTACATTAATTTCACTTTTTAGAAAAGATTGTGTGATTATTTTTCACTTGACTCTGAGCCTTTATTTGTCGTTTATAAGGGATTTACAAAGCATAAATAGTGCTCACTTTAGATCAGGTCACAAAACTGCATGAAGTTGAGTTAATAAAGCATTTATTAACATATTAGTTAACTATTAATATATGCCTGAATAATAAGACAAATAAACGTTGATTTCAATAGCTTATTAATCATTTACTAACTCATTCTGAATGATCCTAAAAACCCTTAACTAATCTTAAATACAAATGGTTTGTAAATAATGCGATACTTAATTTAGTAATGAAAAATAAATCATTAAAGTACGAAAATATAATTATTAAGCTCATTATATAGGTGCTAATAAGTCAAGAATAGAGCATTTGTAGCTGCAGTCATAAACTGCCTACTAACGTTTATTAATGTAGAGTTAGTGCTTAACAGATAATAAATTCACTAGATGCAAATGCTAAGTAAATGATTTATAGTGTGTAGTTATTATAAAGTGTTACCTCATTAATATTTAAGGTATTTAAGATATTTAAGATACAGATCAGTCTGTATGTTCCACCATTAAAAAGGCAGACCTCCCCCTGTACATCTTGTTTTAGCAAAAATAGGGGAATCAACCACTTTTCACTTGGTTTTTTCAATTGATAAAACAGTCCTGACTAACGTTCTTCAAGTGAACAGCTCTGTTCAGCAGGATGCTTCATAAAATTCAGTCAATTCAGTGCAGCATATGTTCTTTGATCACCCTTCATTCATATGAATGTAAAACATTTGCACTCAGAATATAAGGAGGGGCCGCTATATTAGAATCTGTTATTTACCAGCGTGATTCTTCTCCGACGCAGAGCATGCAGACCATCAGGAGATATTTTAGAGGCAGATTGTCTGAATTCAAGAGTTTGAAAGCGACGCAGAGAGCAGCATTCAGAGCTGTCGCATGAGAATGGTTTCTCCCTTCACCTGTTCTTCAAGTGGTTCGCCCCACTATTCAGCCAGCCTACCCTGAATGAGTCATCCTGCTCGTGCCTGATTGGCCATTCGGGATCCATCCCGAGGGATTGCCGTGCAGAAAGCTGCCGAGGCCTGACTTCATTCACAGAAACGTCGGTATGCCCGTCTGCCTTTCCATTCACAGGCAGCCTAAATCATTTTCACCCGCGCGGCCGCTCAGCATCCTCTCCGGCTCTCCTCAGCATCTCTTCTGCATCTCCGTGACAACACAGAGCCAGGAGCACTTATAACGCAGTTTTTTTTTGTGTGCTTGTTTTGCTTTTGTCTCAGTGGAGAAGACAAACCCTTGCTCTCTCCCTCTCTCTCTCCCTCTCTCTCTCTCTGTCTTTTTTTTTCAGTTTGCAGGCAGGAAAGCGAGACGCTGGGAGGGACTGCAGTGCGTTCGCCGCAGCAGTACAGGAAGCTTGTGAATGACTGCTGCTTCCCTGTCACAAGCTCTTCTGGACATTTCCCATGAATGGCTCTTTTTTTCGCTGCCTTAATGTCATGGGCTTCATCCCGTTGGCTGCTTTTTAACGGGGCTCTGAGATCTGACATCACTGTTTACGGTTGTTTCCCCGCCGAATCCGGATGGCATTTTAGTGAGACGGAATCTTGACATTGCGTGTTTGAGAGAGATGTTTAATTATTCAACAGAGCTCATTCAGGAGCAAAGCTCGGCTTGTTTTGCCTTCTGTAGGGGGAGATATTCGGGCGCTCGTGCGGATGGATTTAAGCCGATGTTTCATAGTGTCTGAGGAAGAACGAACGTGACGAACAAAGAGATTTAAATTTGAGCACGTTTTTAACTCGCCGTTAACAATGGCGACATGTAAGCTAGTTGCGAACGAAAGGTGAACGCAGTCAAGTATTTGTACTTCTAATGTCCTTTCAGTGATCTTCATTTCAGTCTGTTCAGCTGAGCGCCTTTCTTCTGAATTGAAGTCAACCAAGATTGTATGTACTGAGAATTAGTCATCACCATGTACACAGCGACTAGAGTTTCCTTCTTTGTGGCGTACATGTGTTCCAGGCACAGTACTCCAGTATGATCTTTGCATTGAATTACGCCGTTGGATTATGTTGCTGACTCTTTTTGCATTATTTTCATCGGTTTTGATTCAGTCGTTTTGACTGAAGAGTTCAACACTGAGCTCTTTATCGTTGTATTTATCTGGACTGAATCAAAGCAGGAGGCGTTCCTATGGACAGTGCAAATTTTGCAAATTGATTGGTTCTACCAAGCTGTAAGTGGGAGTTTTTTTTTGTAACAGAAAGTGCTCTGCAGTGTTGAGTGAGTCTTTTGTTGAGAAGCGTCTCTCGTTCTCTCTCTCTCTTTCTCCGAGTGAGTCATGCATGTTCAGGGATCTGCCAGGATGCGGGGAGAGAGAGAGACATCTCTTCACTAGAGATCTGTCTCTCTCTCTGCCATCTCTGGCCCTCTGTAGAAGAGCGACCTCGCTGCTTTTTTCCTCATCGTCCTCTGTCTCCATGGATTCCGCGTTTTGTGGTTTATTTTTGGTCCCTGAGTTGCCGCTGTGCGGCGTCGGATTTTCCTGACGGCCGCTTGCTTCCTTTCTCCAAACCCTCGAGGACGCTTTCTCTGCTCCAGCATGCAAAAGAAGTGGACGGTCAGCCGGGAGTTGGATGTGTCCATTCGTGTGTAGGCTGGCATACCGAGGGGAATGCTTCACCGTGCTAAATACAACCGATTCCGGAATGAGTCAGTGACGTCCGTCGATGAGCTTCTGCACGGTCTCTCCATGAACGCCAAGGTCTCGGCCGTCCCGCCGTCACCGCCCGTGGGCGACCCTCCATACGCCCCGCCAGCCGACCCTGACCCCGCCGAAGAGTCTGGCACCTTGTGCACCCTCATCAACAAAGTCTCCAACCTCAAATTCACCAACTCTTCTGGACTTCTAGGCATTAAGGGCCTGCCGTCCGCTGTCAAAGACCTGGCCGTGTCCAAGCTCCAGGGAGGAGCGGCAGCAGGTGCTTCCAGCAGCCCCGCTTCATCCACCCTCGCTGCGGCCTCCCCGCTGGAACCCGGCTCCACGAGTTCAGGGAAGAAGGGCCGAATGGAAGAATCTCAGCCTAGTGGAGAGGGATGGAGCCTGGGCGGGACGGGGGCCGCGGGCTGTGGAGGGCTGGTGAATAAGCCGTCTCATGGATGGCTACACTCCAGCGAAAAGATCTCTGGACCTGGAGTGACGTATGTCGTTAAGGTAAGCCCAAATCCCATGTCTGTTTTTCTGCATGAAGGTAGAATACATCTTCTTCCTTTCCATGTGCTGGTACACGGGGATTATGTGTACGGTTTGGAATAATGCAGCCGGAGAGAAGGTCGCAAGTGACCACAAAGCACAGACTGTTCCACCACATACAGTACCATGTTTACATGACGTCTGTTTCATGAGTCGTGCATGCATGTGGAGGTGGGTGGTAAAAACCAAACTCTAGTCATTTATTCGATATCAGGCTAACAGATGTAGATGCTATATTTGTTAATTGCATCATTGATCTTGCTGTTTGTGTGAAGCAAACTTTGTAATGCTAGCAATTCTTGTGTATATACAGTTGAAGTCAGAATTATTAGACTCCTTGAAATTTAGCCCCCCTATTTATTTATTTATTTTTCCCTATTTTTGTTTAAAGGAGAGAATTTTGTTCAACACATTTCTTTTCATAATAGTTTTAATAACTCAGTCATTTCTAATAATTGATTTCTGATTTATTTTATCTTTGCCATGATGACAGTAAATAATATTTGACTAGATATTTTTCAAGACACTTCTATACAGCTTAAAGTGACATTTAAAAGCTAGGCAGGTTAGGGTAATTTATTATCTAACAATTTATTGTATAACGGTGGTTTGTTTTTTAGTCTATCAGACAAAGTATAGGTTAAAGGGGCTAACAATATTGTCCTTAAAATGGTGTTTAAAAAATAATAGACTTGCCGAAATAAAACATAGAAGACTTTCTCCAGAAGAAAAAATATTAACAGACATACTGTGAAAGTTTCCTTGCTCTGTTAAGTTTCATTTGGGAAAGATTTTAAAAAGAAAACAAATTTAAAGGGGGCAAATAATTCTGCCTTCAATAGACTAATAATTCTGCCTTCTAATAGACTTCAACTGTATATTTAAACACCCTTCACAGATCTCTCTTTTAAATTCACATTTTCTATAGGAAGCTTTACAATATTATATTTGTGCATATACATTACATTAGTCGGTACCAACGCCAAAACTGGAACTGATCTAACAAAATATCTTAAGATCAAAATTAGCACACCCAAATTTATGTCGGAGAACAATGTAAATACATTTTTTATAAACAAATTAAAAATATAAAATTTAGTTTGTATTATGTCATTTTTGTTTTTTGCAATAACCCAATTCAATTGAAGTATAATATATTTTATTTTTTAAAGATATTAGGTGACCAAACTCTTATTTTATTGGATATAATTGTTTATTAAAGCTGTTTTATTGAAATGCACTAGAATTATTATCTAAATTCACTGAGAAATGGATTAAAATATTCATTTCAAAATAGGGCGTACTCATTTATGCTGAGCTCTGTATGTCAAACAGAACAAATAACACAGTTGAATCTAAAACAAAAGAAAGAAAGTGTATTTGGAACTTGATAGGGACACACTCGATATAGTGTTATAATATAATATAATATAATATAATATAATATAATATAATATAATATAATATAATATAATAATATTATATAATATAAATATAATGTAATATAATATAAAATAATGTTATATAATGTATTATAATATAATATAAATATATATATATATATATATATATATATATATATATATATATATATATATATATATATATATATATATATATATATATATATATATATATATATATATATATATATATATATATATATATATATATATATATATATATATATATATATATATATATATATATATATATATATATATAT